CAATCGGGGCGTGACAGACTCTGCGTTCCATTCGGAAGGGCTCATCCCTATAGGGTTTACCCTCAGGAGTGAGAGCTTCGAAGGTATGAAGGGTGTAGGGGTCAAAAAAACTCTGTTTTTGGAACGCACTTCTGCGTCATCTTAACGGGAGGATCAAGGAGGTGCCTTCGTCACACATTTTGTACGCTGGTTGACCCACAATCGTCTTTTATGTTAAATATAATCTATATTTGTGTATGTAATGTAATGCAAAATGTATTTGTAATGTATATTGTGTCTATGTATTTGAAACATTTGAATGGACTGATAAAGGTAGCTGTATTTTTGTATTTTTGTTGAAGTACAATGTCGTTTTGACCAACCATAAAAATGTACCAAATCTAACTTGTATAAATATTACAGTAGTATAGAAAAATACTATGCATACATTTATCGGTGAAGTCGAACTCTGTGACACCAAACAACTTCCCTGTGCAAAGGATCATGGGGGCCTGAAGTGTCCATTAGTTGTACCCTTCGAGATCCTTCATTCCGAAGGGCCCATTGAAGTGGCCAGTTTTGAGCACTTCGGTTTGGAACGACCCTTCAATTTGGTAGCCATGATTGTTTTCACTTCAAAGTGCCCTTCAGAGGGCGATATATCCCGTTTGGAATGCACCGACTCATTCATTCGATCCAAACTTCCTAACGATGTGGGAACACAACTTCAACCAACTTATAAAGGGTGAAATAGCAGTACCTTTACCCTCCGCTAAACTGAAATGTTTACTGTGTGTCATTCATGTTCTGCATATGTTGCTTCACAGTAGCCTTCACTTAAAATCTAGTGATTTAGTCTAAGATTGTTGGATGATAAAATTAGCACACAAAGTACTTGGGATGCACCGAAATAAAAATTCTGGGCCGAAACCGAAAATTCTGGATGCACTTAGCTGAAAACCGAAACTGCTTTGTAATAATTCATTATTATTTTATTAAATAATATAAAGTAATTTTGTAAGACTTTTAATGAAAGTGACACAAAAATATCAATATATTATTTTTATTCAGTATTATCAGAGCATGTGAGCAGAGCATAGCGGGGAGCAGATCAGTGAATGAGAGGGTAGCGTCATTTTGCATGCGTTGCCCAGTACAGCTGTACTACACCATGTTACATACAGTAGCGCTATTGTAAACAGGAACAAGTTTACTACATAGAAATTTCCTGCTGGCGCGTTGAGCGGACTTTGCTTTTCCAGTGAGCATGAGCGGTACATGAGCAGAACACACATTCATAGAGCGGAATGAAATTTCTGTGCATCCCTATAAAATACCATTTGTATACTACTTCCGCCACCTCACCGGAAGTTGTACCCACATTCTTTTTTACAGTAGCGTCCCCCTGGAAACAGGTGGATAGATCAATATTCCTATGAAATATGAGATATTCTTATGAAAATGTTGCCAAGTTATTACTCCCATTTTTACCTTTCTTATTTCATTATGGATTGCCCCAAATACACATTAATATGCAAATTAGGCAAGACAAGGCAAGTTTATTTATATAGCACATTTCATACACAATGGTAATCCAAAGTGCTTTACATAAAAGAAATGAAAAAATAATTAAAAAAAATAATCACAACAATAAAACAAGGAATTTAAAACTTTGAAAATGATTTAAAAATGAAAAAAGCGCACAAGTTAAAACTGCTTGAATGTGTAAACTGGCAAGACAAAACATGTGCAAATGATAAACTTTCACTCTATGATGGTTAAACTTAACAGTTAATCTGCGAATCACATGCGTGTCTTCTGTAGAGGACACCAGGACAAACGGCATGTTAATCAGGCACAAGTCGTCAATAAAGAAATTATAGATTCAAGATTTTTTTTATTTGTCACATACATGGTTATATAGTTAAAAATATATATAAAATAGATCAATATTCCTATGAAATATGAGATATTCTTATGAAAATGTTGCCAAGTTATTACTCCCATTTTTACCTTTCTTATTTCATTATGGATTGCCCCAAATACACATTAATATGCAAATTAGGCAAGACAAGGCAAGTTTATTTATATAGCACATTTCATACACAATGGTAATCCAAAGTGCTTTACATAAAAGTAAAATAATCATAAAAAAATCACAACAATAAAACAGGGAACTTAATTTTTTTTTATTATTTAGAAATTTATTTAAAACGAATTTAAAAACGATTATACATAAAATACAGTGCAATCAGTTCAGACATTGCACAGTGCTCATTCAATAAATGCACAGCTAAACAGATGAGTTTTGAGTCTAGATATAATAGATAATAATATCCTTTATACAGTATTTTGGGTGATGACTGATGTGCAATGGGCTGCTGCTGCTTAACTAAGTAAACAAAGACAAAACTACAATAGCATATTTACAGATGAAACGGACCTGCACATGAAACCCTGAACAGTAGTTTTGCTTCTACTGACTTTCTGCAGTGTACTGAGCTACTTTTGATTTATTCGTCCAAAATGTGACCTATTCCATCCGCTTTAGGACTTCCGTTTTTATTACTGGATTCTACGAACCAGTCTGTTTTCCCCGCATCGCGGAAATTATAGGGCCGTATGTCTCAGAGTAATCAGTG